TTGCTATAGGATAGGGTCAATTCAGGTTGCCTGCCCTCAGCTGCCCAAGGGACTAACTGGGGACATCATCATGGGTTCCTAGGAGCCAGTCTAGGGTCAAGTCTCTTGCCAACCCTAAAGTGGCTCCCTTAACTAAAAATTGCGGTTCCGTGCTCCCCTCTCCAACCTTCCTTTATCCCAATCCTCCTGTTCCCCAAGTTCCCCCCTCCTTCCCTTCTAATTTCTCTCTCCCCATCTCCCCTTACCCCCATCCCACCCCACCCCTAAGATCCCAATTTTCTCCCCGGCAATTTTGTCTACTTCCCATAGCCAAGAGGATAACTATATGATGCTAATTAACCCAATTAAAAAAATGGGGCACTGAACTGAACAGAGAATTCTCAACAGAAGAAGTTCAAATGGCCAAAAGACACTTAAGGTCATGCTCAACTTCCTTAGCAATCAGGGAAATTAAAATCAAAACAACTTTGAAATATCATCTTACACCTGTCAGAATGGCTAAAGTCAAAAAACACCAATGATAGCCTGTGCTGGAGAGGCTGTGGAGGAAGGGGTACCCTCATCCATTGCTGGTGGGAATGCAATGTTGTGCAACCACTGTGGAAATCAGTGTTTCGGTTTCTCAGGAAATTCGAGATCAACCTACCCCTGGACCCAGCAATACCACTCTTGGGAATATACCCAAGAGATGCCCTATCATATGACAAAAGAATTTGTTCAACTATGTTCATAGCAGTATTATTTGTAATAGCCAGAACCTGGAAACAACCTAGATGCCCTTCAATGGAAGAATGGATGAAGAAAGTATGGAATATATACACATTAGAGTACTACGCTGCGGTAAAAAACAATGACTTCTCGAAATTTGCATGCAAATGGATGGAAATAGAAAACACTATCCTGAGTGAGGTATCCCAGACCCAAAAGGATGATCATGGGATGTACTCACTCATAATTGGTTTCTAGCCATAAATAAGGGTCACAGAGTCTACAATTGGTGAACCTAAAGAAGCTAAGTAAGAAGGTGAACCCAAGGAAAAACAAATAGTTTTCCTCTTGGCTATGGGAATTAGACAAAATTGCCAAGGAGAAAATTGAATATATACTTATAAATTTCTGTCTGCCTTCATTTATACCAATACAGAACTAAAAATAAGTCCAGAACTCTCTGAACTTTGGCCTCTTTGGGCCTCCACATAATTCACAAAAGACAGAATCATAAAAGGTTTAAAAGCCTGAAAACATGCAAATATTCTTCTTTTCATGTAGACATAGTGAGGAAGGATTTTATGAATATGGGTGTACACATGTGTGACTGTGTCCACAAATATGGAGGTCACATGTCATCCTTGAGTGGTGATTCTCAGAGGATATATACCTTATTTTAGTTTTGTCTTGTTTTTTTGATACTGATACTTTCATTTTCATGGAGCTTGCTGCCTAAGTAAGAAGTATTGGCTAGTGATCCACCTGGATTGACCTGTATCTGCTCTCCAATAGCTAGTGTTACAATCTCTTGCCACTGTGTCATGCAAGTTTCTAAGTGGGTCCTTGGGATCAAGCTCATGTCTTCAAGTTGAATAGACAGTCATTTATTACCTGAGGTTCTCATGTTTTTACCTTTGTAAAATGGTATTTAATTACAAATCAAAGCATAAGGAGGCCTAAAACAACTCATAAATATGACAGAAAAATACACACATTTATTATTAAATGAGGTAGATGAAAAAGTTAAAAAAGAAGCTGTAAAATATTGTAATGCAGAACAAAATGAAAACAAAAAACATTAAAAATAATGGAATGCAGAAAAAGAAAAGGGTTGCTAGAAGTTTATCCTAATGCAATGCAATGTTACTAACGGAGATTCATCTTGGAGGCCTTCCTTCCTGAAAGAAAAATAAAAGACCTTTAACTTCGTAAAAACTGATATATTATGCTTGCTGCAAGACTTCCCAATACATAAGAGGCCAATATAAAGGAAAGAGTCACTGAAAGAAGAGATCTCTTGTAGTGTTGCAATTAGAACAAATCATATGCAATTAAATCTTACAATGTGTTAAAAAATTAGAGCACTGTCCCACTCAGTTCAATAATTTTGGGTCTTAAAGTAATGGGGCCTGAAGTTGCCTCTACTGATTATTAGAGCATTGATTATGATGTAGACGATGTGCAAAAATTAGGAATCTGGTTGCCTTGATGAAGCATATGAAGCTACTAAATAAGGATGCAAAATCAGTGTTGCTCCACACATAACAGAGGGAATTTTGATTACATTGTTAAATATCAAACTTTCCTTGCATTTGCTACACTTCAGTCACTCAGTACTCATGCATACCTTGCACTATGGCCTTTTTTTTTTTTTTTTTTTTTGGTTTTTTGAGACAGGGTTTCTCTGTGGTTTTGGAGCCTGTCCTGGAACTAGCTCTTGTAGACCAGGCTGGTCTCAAACTCACAGAGATCCACCTGCCTCTGCCTCCCGAGTGCTGGGATTACACTACGGCGTTTTTAATGCATAGTGCACATAAAGTCATATTCTTTGAAGAATAGTGATAGTTTAAAAGGTTAGTTAGATCATTATCATTTCAGAGCACAAATTCACCAGCTGGTTTTCTAAAAGACTGGGTGATTTCACATGATCCCTTAACTGGTTCAGCTACTGTGGTTCAAAGAGTTGGTTACTGCACAGTTTTCTATTGAAAGGAATGAGGCTGCCCTGATAGACATAATGCAGAAATCACTGATTCACACACAAACCCCTCCTGAAGTTCGCTCTGTAGTTCATAGGGGATTTCTCTAAAACCAAGAGCAGTATAGGTTTGAGGCTTCTTGGGCTTTCACAATTCAAACTAACATGTCTATTGCTGTTTTCCAATTTATGACCCCCAATTTGGCAGTCATATTGATAAGCATATGTGATGTAATTTCTAACATTCCAAGGAGAAGGAACCTCACAATAAACTTCTTATCCTTTTTACTCTCTCTACTGCAATGACCTCTGAGACTTTGGGTGTTGGAGAGAAAAACTTGAGTCTGTGTTTTACAACTTTCAATTTTAATTGGTTGTGATTTTCTCCTATGGTCTCCTTCTGTTTCAAAGAGAATTGTCCTTGATACAGGGTGAGGACCACAAACAGCTAAGGAATGTTCTCTCTGTGAAATGCTCTTCCCAAGGAAGAATACTGCAATTAGTTAGGTAATATCAAATATTCATTCCAAAACCATCCATGAAAGCAATATGATAAAGACTGTGCAGATTGTGCTTATGTATTTAGGAATATATGTTAATATTAGTGTATCTGCACATGTTTGTGCACATACATTTATATTACAACAGAAGAAATAAGGAAAAAGGAATTATACAGCAGAGTTTAGAGGGAAGGAAGGGAAGGGAGAAATAATGTAATTATATTAAAATTTGGCAATGACAGTAAAAGACCTGCAGAGGGCAGACAAACACTACTAAAAGTGGAATATCTATGTTAGGTACCTGAGAAAACTAAGTGGTGCTGGAGAACTAGGCTTTTTGGTTCCCTGCTGCTCAGCCTGGAAATAATCACATTAAAACACAGAGAAAATCTCAACAATATATGAAAAGTCAAATAACATCTTACTTTCTATTTTTTCTTCAACTACTAAACAATGATGAGTCCTATTAAGCAGGCCCACTGTTACAGTAGGGGCTACAAAATGATGAGGATAACCAAATATTGGACTTAAGTATCCTTTCATAAAACAAAATCCGTACCTGAAAAATTTATTGGGAACAAGAACTTGTGACTTTGATAGTTACAGATTCTATGAAAGAAACTAATATTGTCATTATGTTTATAAAATATATGCTATATTTGTTATTTAATGTTTTTCAGCAAATTTAATTCATTGTAGTCAAAAGAATTAAAACCAATAAAGTAAGTAAGAAAGTATGTGACAAACATTGTAAGTGAAACCATTTGAATAAGCAATTTGAACTATCACTTGATAATCAATGAAGTGGATAATAAGCAAACAAGAAAGAAATCTTGTGTACTTAGTAAGAGACTCTTTATAACATAGTGTAAACACAAAGCAGTTAATTGGAAAAAACTATTTGTAAGTTGATCAGGAATTGAAAGAATAAATGTGTACCCTTTTTATACCATAATCAATGGAAAATAATTTATTAGAAAGAAATAATATTTTTCCACTCCTGAATATTCTCTTATAATTGATGCTTGTTTAGTACCAAGAAGAGTGATAATCATTTATATTTCCCCATTCATGTGTTTATTATTATGTTATAGCCACAGTCTCTCTATGTCCTCAGAATATAGACCTCTATTACAATCATTCCATAAAAAAGTATAGCTTTTTCACATTTTTTTGCAAAAGTGTTCTGCTAATATAGTCATCTAGAGAAGAATGCATGCCGTAGGAATATTCTAGAAATAAAAAAATGACCATTAATCTAGAATGAGAACAAACTTCAGGGTTGGTTTGATGTATTCAGTAAAGAAATATCATCAAAAAAAAAAACTTTTGAAACTACTGCATATACTGTAGATCTTCATCTTGACAAATATGGCACGGATGCATTTTTCTAACTTGTATTTTTTTTTATTCACTCAATTCACTATTTGAAATTTTACAATAAGCATTCATGGTTCTTTGAACAAAAATGTTATAAATTGTACATTGAATATAAATCTCCGTTTTCACCTAAATGCCTTTCTGTATATTCATTTGTGAAAAATTGGGACTTTTAATTTGTATGATTTTTTTGTATTATTTATTTAATTATTTTCTTTTTACAAAAGTTTATTACAATGTACAACAGGCTGCAGAATAACACTTCATTCTAACTATAGGTGGCAATGATGTTATAGTAGGGGATCCAGATGTTTAACAGGCTCCAGGATAACACTTCATTCTAGCTGTAGAAGGCAAAGATGTTATGGCAGGGTATCCAGATGTTTAAATAGGAATGGAAGAGGGTCACCATCATCTCAGATATGAGGAACAGCTTACTTTTTGCCAGATTTCTTAATTCCACCTGTGGCCAGAGGTCCCTTCCCCATGGCCTTGGCTTCTAGCTCCTCGAGTTTCTTCTGCTCCTCTTTTTGTTTCTGCTTGAAAGCCTTATGTTCCTCATGCATTTCCTTGGCCTGTTTCTTGGGCTGTTTCAGGGGCTTCTTTTTGCCACCTTCCTGGCCTGACATGGCACCTCCAGACCTAGTAGGATTTTTTTTAACTTGAATGAATTTGTATTTTTCATTTTTCTTAAGTATATTATTTACACATTTTTAAATTTCATTTATTTATTTTACTTTCAGAACAGTTTCACCTCTCTCCCACTCTTTTCCCCAAACTCCCCATTGCTCCCTTCCCCAAATAACTCTTCCTCTCTTTCTGCTCAGAAAGGTGCAGGCCTCTCATGTGTATCAGCAGATCATGGTAACTAGTTGCAGTAAGACTAAGCATACCCTCTTGTATTTAGTCTGGGAAAGGCAATCTGGCATGATGAATAAGTTCCCAAGAGCCTGCCAAAGCATTATGGACAGCACTTGCTTTTATTTTTAGGGCCCTACAAATAGACAAACGATACAACTGTCAAATACATCTATATGCCTGGGTTGGTCCCATATAGGCTCCTAGGTTTTTGGTTCAGGCTCTGTGAGTTCCTATGAGCTATTTTAGTTGTTTCTGTGGATTTTATTTTGAAGTCCTTGACACCTCTATCTCTTAAAATCCTTTCTCTTTTACTTCAGTGGGTTCCTTGAGTTCAGGCTAAAGTGGGTCTTTGCATATTTTTCCATAAGTTACTGGGTGAAGGTTCTCTGTTGACAATTGTGGTAGTTGGCACTCTAATTACAAGAGATGACCAGTTCAGGGTACCAATCCATTATTGTGAGGATTTTTAGCTGGGGTCGTCATTGTAGATTCCTGGGAATTTCCCTTGCATTTTGTTTCTATCTGGCCCCCTAAGGTCCCCTGTTTACAGTCATCTCTTCTTCATTGATGACACCAATGCAATTGCTAAAATTTCCATCCCCACCTACCCCCAATGCATCCAGGAGTTTCCTTCGATTTCTGCTTCCTATGGAGATTTATATGTCCCCCCACCACATTTGGGTTTCTTCTTACCTAGCCTCTCTGTGCCTGTGAATTGTAACATGGTTATCCTTTACTTTTCAGCTAATATCCATCTATGAGTAAGTCCATATTGTATTTGTCTTTTTGGCTCTGAATGATATAAGATATCATGTAAGATGATTTTTCCTAGTTCTAACCATTTGTCTTCAAATTTCCAAATGTCATTTTTTTAATATTTAAATAACACTACATTGTGAAATGTAGAATGTTTTATTTATCCATGTAGTGAATGAGCTTCTGGGCTGCATTCCTGCCACCCAGCTCCCTGGCTGCCTGGCTAGCTTACGCCCCAAAATAACAACACACAAATTGTATTCATTTAAACACTGCTTGGCCCATTAGCTCTAGTCTCTTACTGGCTAACTGTCATATCTTGCTTTTAACACATATTTAGTAATCTGTGTAGCACCAGTCTTACCGGGAAAGATTCAGCATGTCTGACCTGGTGGCTTGCGTCATTGCATCTGTCCTGGAGAGGAGCAGCATGGCATCTGCCTCACTTCCTCCCAGCATTCTCTTCTGTTTTTCATGCCTACCTATGTTCTGACCTATCAGGCCATCAGTTTTCTTTATTAATCAACCAATGAAATAACAGATAGATAAAGACCATTCTACATCATATCCATTCTTCAGTTGAGGGACATCTAGGTTGTATCCATGTTCTGGCTACTACAAATAAAGTTGCTATGAACGTAGTTGAGCCAGTGTCCTTATAGTATGATTAGGAATCCTTTGGGCATATGCCCAAGGGTTGTATCATTGGGTCTTGAGGTAGATTGATTGCAAATGGTCTGATAAAACATGTCATTGATTTACAAAGTGACTATGTATAGTGATATTTTATTTATGTTTTATTAAGTAAAGCTTTCCCCTTTTTTCTCTCTGGATTTTCATTATTCAGCTACAACTATACAAAATTGCATTTCCAAATTAGAGAGAATGAACAGCTTCTGTCCTAGGAGTGGTGTGGGACCATGGTCTGTTCTGTCAATTATATTTTAAATAAATGCTGAATGGCCAGTAGCCAGGCAGGAAGTATTGGCCAGACAACCAGACAGGATAAAGAGGTGGGTCAATAAAAACAGGAAAATTCTGGAAAGAAGTATGTGCATTCCTCACCAGTACTGTCCAGACACCAAAGAAGAAAGATGTGACCTACCCTGCTGAAAAAGTTACTGAGCCATATGGCTAACATAGATAAGAATAATGGGCTTTGTAAGTTATAAGAGTTAATAAGAAGCCTGAGCTACTGGGCCGATCAGTTTATAACTTATGGAGACCTCTGTTTGATTTTCTTTGAGGGTAAACAGCTGAGGGACCTGGTGCTAGGACAAAATTCAAAATGAATAAACCTTCATGTTACAAATGGCACCAACGTGTGGACAAATGCATCCACATGTTACAAAAGACTTTGGAAAGTAATTCTAGAGAGAAAAGAATAGAGTAAAGCATGGCTTATTGATAGCAGCAATTTCTCTGTGAGGTCTGATTGCTAGAGCCAAGCACTTCCATTTAAAAAAGGCTTCCTGACTTAGCATTAGCTGCAAAACCTTGCACCTCTTTAAGAGGTACTGCCACAAACCACTTAAATAATCTTGATAAAATTGCCAGCATGTTTTTGGGTTTTAGCCATAGCCGGAAAACACCAAGGTATTTTAAAATGCTAGCTTTCTGTGCCATCCTGCAGGGAAACTCTGACTCTTTCAGGCAGGTGGTCTGACTATGGAGCATTTGAGGGTAGCTTGTGAGAATACTGCTGCAGCTGGATTGTTGGAAGGGACCATGAAACATCATATAGTTGTGGCAATAAACATGGTTCAGCTGCAACCTCAGATATGAGGCCTAAATCTAAGATAGCTAAGAAATGAGTTGGATCTAGCCATCAAACCCACAGCTTAATACTCTCCATATTGCTTAGCAAATCAAGATTTATGTGGTCAGAAAAAGAGAAATCTTCATTAAAGATAATTCAAATTTGAAGAAAACCACTAAATGTTTTATATTATGTTAAAAATATATGTAGATTAAGGTTAAAGTCCTTAAAATAAAAAAAGAAAAAAAAGAGTATTTGTGTCCGGTGGTACACACCCTTAATCTCAACACTTGGTAGACAGAGGTAGGCATACCTCTGTGAATTCAAGGCATGGTGGCACAGTCTTTAATCCCAATGCTTTGAAGAGAGAGGCAGACAGACTTCTGTGAGTTCACAGTGTGGTCGCATAATCCTTTTATCCTAGCACTTTGGAGGCAGAGACAGGGAGGTATCTGTGAGTTTAAGGAAGCCTGGTCTACAGAGTTAGTTCCAGGCCGAAGATATACAGAGGACCTTTCTCAAAAATTAAAAGTAAAAATAAAATAATAGAAGTTAAAGTAATGCCACATAAAGATGGAAAATACACAGAGAGTCTGGATACTGTATGTTATCATGCTCTCTGTGAATTATTGAATGCTGAGGTCAGAGCAACAGCTGCTAAAATATATTTGTTTATAAGTGCCGGTAAATTAATCCAAGATAGGTATTTTGAAAATTCCTTGACATCAAAGTTGAAGTCAAAATGTATGTTACTTTGGAGAAGAGGATTTGCTTTTTTTTCCACAAGAAATGAGAGGCTGTAGATTCATTCTGAGTTAAGAAAAATCAGCTTTCATCAACTAAGACTGCCTGAGAAATCTATGGAAGAAAGAGATGGCCCACATATCTGACTTCTACATCCAGAACAGGTTCAAGACTGCTGCGTGAGATGATCAAGACTCACAGGATACTCCAGTCGGGACTTGATGAAAACCCTAAATTTTCCTCAGGTCCCCAGAAGATTATCAGTGCCCCATAAGCAGTAAGTAGCCTGAAACAGAATGAAAACATTCCCGAATAATGATCTATGGATATTTTACTTTGTTTAAAAAATAAGAGGAGGAAGTGGTATGGGAAATGATCTATATTCTGTAATTTATATTTTAAATAAACTCTCATTGGCCAGTAGCCAGGCAGGAAGTATAGGCTAACATCCAGATTGGAAGTAGAGTTGGGTCCGTTAGAGCAGGTGAATTCTGGGAAGGAGGAAGACCATTCCTCACCAGTACTGTCCAGACACTCAAGAAGGAATATGTGACCTGCCCTGCTGAAAAAGGAACTGAGCCATGTGGCTAACAAGACCAGTATAATGGGCTATATATGTTATAAAAGTTGGTAAGAAGCCCAAGCTAATGGGCCAATAAGTTTATAACTTATGGAGACCTCTGTGTAATTTTCTTTGGGACTAAATGGATGAGGGAACTGGGCAGGAAAGAATCCCCAACAAGCAGGCCCTCATGTTACAGAGAAGAGTCCTCCATCAGGGGCTCTATGTGTCTCTAGGGAAAGACCTACACAATGAAAGCAGAATTCTCAATTACTTCTTAGATTGGTGGATATTGAGATAGTACCTTAATGCATTTTTTAGAATACAATGCACTGTGGGAATGAGTGCACCTAACAAATAAGCATTAAAATAAGAAAAATGTCAAACTGTCAATTTTTGACAAATGGACTTCATTCTACTATCTAAGGAGTAGATGGAGATGTTATGGTGTAGGAGATTCTTATGTATTTGTGTTGCTTTCATTGGTTAAATAAAGGACTGCCTTGATGTTTTGATAGGACAGCCCTTAGGTGGATGGTGTAGACAGAACAGAAGGATGGAAAGAAGAAAAAAATGTGGTAGACACCATGAAGCTCTAGCCTGAGATGGACATAGGTTAGAATCTTTCCTGGTAAGACACAACCTCGACCTTGTTGTGCTACACAGATTATCAAAAATTGGTTAGATCAAGATGTGAGATTGGACAATAAGAGACTAAAAATAATGGGCCAGACATTAATGAATACAATTTCTATGTGGTTATTTCTGGTATAAGGTAGCCGGGCGGTGGGATGTCTCCCTCTCCCTTCATACTATGGAGTTGCGCCCATTGTTGATAACTAATACCAAGTAAAACCTGAGTTCGGGTATGTGTTAGACGGGCAGCAGGATGTGGCCCGCAAACCTCATATTACTATGTTAGATAATCTAGTCTTAAATTTCAGAAT